TATATGAAATATAAAAAACGGGTCATCCTATTTATAAATCATGTTTGATACATCTTTCCAAAACGCTCCGTATACTTCATAATATTTTTAAAATGTCCTCTTTAAGGCACCGCTCGATGCCCTAATAAAATATGTATTTTCTATCTATATGACATAGGAGTAATATAATCACTATTAGTCCACCCTGTATGTATTGATTTAAGACAACATTTATAAATGAATATCTCTAATACAGGAAAACACTAAATATGCAGGTATGTGGATGTAGTGAACAATGGTTAAAATAGTAAACGGTTTATAACATTTTATTTTTAAAAAAATCTTCAATATAATTATTTAACTAACCAAGAAATGTTACAATACATTACATATCATTAATAAAATAATATTTTAAAAAATATCAAATGCAACTGGTATCAGATTAATTATTTACCCTATCGAATATATCAGAGTTTTTGGTGCCACGGTGTAGTATATCTCCATACCGCACTCCCAGTCCGAAACATTCCGTAATTATTTGTGGTGGGGCGCGATAGAATGAGAGCGACCCAACTAGTGGGGACTTTAAGTTGCCCTTCATTGTACCTATGGATGTTACTTCTTTTCCATATTTGTCTATTCAAAACCATAGATAAAAACAAGAATTCAAACCTGAAATAAAACCAATATTAAAAAATTTGTGTTTGTGAACAGTATCTCAAGGTACAGTTTTCACCTTGGGGAGTAACAAGAGAAATGCACTAATACCGAAAATATCTTTTAAATAATGCTTGTATTGTAGAGAAGCTGTGAAATATAAAAACGCCCCTATGCTACACAGTAGTACCACAACAAATAATTTTGTTTACCCAATAGTTCGCGCCATTATTCTATGGCTAGAAATTGGCCTCAATGATTTGGGATCGAGGGGGATTATCCCTCTTTATCCTGCCTCATCTCGTGTAGGCCTGGACAGCCTTCGTAGGTGGGCCCCATCCGTCGNGGTATGTCAAATGATTTTATTATTTAAAAACACAAATTAATTTTATTAATAATTAATAAAGGCAAAAGCACTTGAATTTGCCGATATAAAATAGGTCCGATAAAATTCTATTTACATATTTCTTGCGAAAGTTTTTGTCCGTTTTTATCACGCCGCCATATACCGGTCACATTGAGCGAGGTCAGGTTTTACAGTGGACCAGTGTCCAGTGCCGTGCAGAAGTGTATTTTTAAATCAATTTCGAACTGACCTTTTTGATTTTTTCCTTTACAAAATTGTATTTGTAAGGGTCCCCTGTACATCCAGAATTTTTTTTTTTGTATATGTTCTGAATCACCCTGTATAATACCAATACACCTACCACTTTTAAATATTTATTACATTCTTTGTATATCTAATTTTATGCTGAAATATGGAATAGTATGTAAATGAAACACACATTTTTAAGTAGATTGGAGAGGTAGGTATGTATGTACGTAGAGCTACCTATCATACTTAAAAGTTTTGAATAAATAAAAATGTAACAAGAATTTTGTAATGTGCTAGGTTATAATTATTTTCAAACCTTTACAATTTTTACAGATATAAATTTTAAGGATTAAAATTATACATTTTAACAATTATGAAAGTATAAAGTACTTTTAATTATCCTCGTTGAGTTCCATATAAATACTTTTATTTTCGTTTTCTTATCTTTTATCAATGAAATTTAAATCTACTTTAATACTATCCACAGAAATAAACATGTTTGAGTTAAAACACAAAATTGTGATATTCACAGGAAAAAGAAATAAGTACTCAAGTCCAAATTGGATTTCAAAAAGCAAACATTGTGAAAAATTGAACCATCCATAAAACATATCTAAATTTACTGTAGTCCGCATTAATCGAAAAATTTGATACTTACCTTGAATGATATGATAAAATTAAAATACATACCTTTATCTAACTATTAACATTTAAAAACAAATAATGTAAGCATGACAGTGCACAATTATCAATTAAATGATTATGACAAAAAGTATATCATTTATTCATATTTTAAAAGCTGCAAGTCCTTTAAATAAATTCAGAATTTTATTTTTGTGCATGTGTTTTTTCTACTTACAAATAAGAAGTGAATAAAAATTGGAACATCTTTTAACTTTTTTTACAAAACTTTTTATTGAACAATCAATTTACATTTTTCCTATACCTAAGATATATATGATAATAAAAACATAAAAAATAGTAACCAATATTTATTACTGTAAGCATAGATGAAATAAATAAGTCATTAAGAATCACACACTCCCGATATTCGATCCTCATTCAGTCCGTTTCAGTTTCTACGCTTCTTCCTCGAGTTCTGCTCCTACAATTAAAAAAAAAATTAAGGCAAGTTAAACAAACGTACTACCTGTCAAATAAAAAGGTATCAAAATCTTAGGAAAAGGAAAGGACAAGGAGTAGTAAATACCTATCATAAATTACCTTCTGCGTCAGAATGATGAGCAGCCTTTTAAAGATGCCAATGAAGTCGATGAACAAGTCCAAAGAGTGGCCTACGAAATCTTTACTGCCCATTCTGCGCTTCTCCACGATGACCTGGGTATCATATAGCACAAAACCACACATAGCCAAAAGTCCAACGTACAACTGAGCCTGGTACACCCACATAGCACCGAAGAAGATGTTGGCAAGAGAGAGTAGCATTAAAATTGTTATTATAGACATGAGTGTACCGCCAAGGTAGAGCCACTTTCCCCTTTCTGATAACAGGGCGCATATTGAGAAACACAAGAACACGGCTGATGTTCCAATGAATGCCGTTACGATTATGCTTGGATCTACCATAATCACAAAGTCTAGAAGGGGTCCCATGCCAACACCTGTTAAGAATGTGAAACCAAGGAGATAGCCTACCCTCAGTGTCAACCCCTTGCCATTATTATCGGGAGTGCTCATAAGTAAGAAGAAAAATACCAAGGCTCCTATTGCGGACAAAAATCCAGCTTGTAGAAAATCTGTGAAAATGTGAACGGAAGCCCCAATGGCTACCGCCATTGTGGACATCGCGAGGCAGGCGTATACATTTTTCAGGTGTTGCCTAACAGGTTCTTCCCTTGAAAAATTAAAAGCATTTCGTAATAAAAACAGGTATATTAAATCGTCAAATTATACTTACAGTTTATTATTAAAGGAATTTAGAAATGTCTGTACGGACGGTGCTGCCATAATTATTTGACTTAGATATTCAATTTTTTCACCCGTCTAATTCTTTAACACTATCTCGAAATCGAACGCTTTGATTACAAAATGATAGCACTAGAACACTACTTCCCTATTCACGAACTTCGATCAACTAATTAACAAATTCCAAATTGCGTTTTTAGTCTTCAACTATCACATAAATACACCAAGCAAAATAACACACGTCATAAATACCTACTAGACCTAGCAAATTCCAGATTTCTCGAGCACGAGCAGTGAGCAGTAGACTTACGTGTTCTGGATTGGCTGTTGACAGTCACGTGGTCACATTTTCTATTGGCTTCGCTTTACGGAAGCGTCTTCTTGGCCGTCAACGGTACAGAACACATAATAAAACACTAATTTACTAATTTTTTTACTAAGAACATACATTTTCCGAAAAACGGAAAATTATACACCGAAAGTGACATGTGTTACGTATGAATACTTTTTTATTATGGTTTCAAGTTTCAAGCAAGAATTGTCTTGGGTTCCAAGGTTCTAATATTACATATATGTCCGTAACTGGTACAATGAAGGGCAACTTAAAGTCCCCACTAGTTGGATCGCTCTCATTCTCTTGCGCCCCACCACAAATAATGGTATGTTTCGGACTGGGAGTGTTGTTTGGAAATATACACCGTGGCACCAAAAACTGTTGTATTCAATAGGGTGAATAATAATTAATCCGATAACAGTTGCATTTGATATTTTAAAATATATTATTTTATTAATGATATGTTAACATTTCGTAGTTAGTTAAATAAGAATATTGAATTATTTGTTTTAAATAAAATATTATATAAAAACTATTTACTTTTTTAATTATTGTTCGCAACATTCAATACCTGCATATTTAAAGTTTTTTTTCCATTACTAGAAATATTCATACAGGGCGGGCCAATAGTGATAATATTATTCCTATTCCATACAGATAGAGAATAATTTTTAGGCGCCTTAAGGGGGACATTTTTAAAATAGTATGAAGTATACGGGGTGATTCCGAAGGCCGCATCAAACATGGTTTTTAAACGCGCGCAATGACCCGATTTTTTATATTTCATATTTTAATCATGATAATAATGAAATAATGATGGAACAGTAAACAATCTTCATTTTGATTCTGTGTTTTATATACAAAATCTTTCAGACAAAATAACTAATGTTTTCGGGAATGAATCAAACATATACCTAAATTGCAAATGAAAATATAAAATTTATTAATAATGTATACACTATAAACGTAAAAGGTAAAGATGATTTTCTTAAAAAAGAAACAATTTTGTTTATATTATACCACTTTATAATAATAATTGTGTATTACAATTATGTAGACCAAATCTAAATTCACTCATCATATATCTCTCTAACTATAAAACTAATATTAAAAATAATAAACGTAATTGTGCTTGGCGCATAAATAGCTAATAGTTTTCAATTAATTTAGATGTCA